TGAAAGGCAGGAGGTCATGCGACTTTTGAAGAAAAATTTAGTGCACATGCAGCAACGTATGGCCGCACAAGCCAATAAGCACAGACGTGATGTAGAGTTTGCTGTGGGTGATAAGGTCTTGCTTAAGCTTCAACCTCATCGTCAATTTTCAGTCGCCAAACCGCTTTCCGGCAAATTAGCTCGTCGTTACTACGGGCCGTTCGAGGTTTTGGAGCGTATTGGCGCCGTTGCATACCGTCTGAAGCTTCCCGTGGGCGCGCGTATCCATAATGTTTTTCATGTTTCCATGCTACGACCGTTTGTGGCGTCCAGCGGGGAGTGTCCCGTGCCGCAATTTCCCTCCGATTTTTGTGATGGCAGCCCTCTTTCTTTTCCCAGACGGGCAATTCGGTCGCGCACAGGGCCAACCCCAAGAACAATGGTTGGTCATATGGTGTCTACCATCACTTCGCCTACGTAGTACCCTCGGATGACTGGCAGAAGCTCTCAACATGGGCCGGGATCAGGAACTCCTGTTCCTGTAAGAACTTCGCCCCTCTATACTATGCCCAGTCCTATAACTCCTATGCCGTCACCGCCTCGTACATCTACGCCTCCTTGTACTCCTCTACGGCGCTTCCAGCCCGGCCCACAGTAAACCACCGGCCCGGTACAAGGATTACGTTTAAATAATATTTCTTTTTAATATTTATTGTATTTTAGATTTTCATTAGGTGAGCGTATTATAAGCTCCTTCGAGGGTTTCTTTTCGGTTCTTTACCTCGATGCTTTTCTTGAACCGACAGGTTAGAAAATTTAGTTTTAGGGTTTCATCTCGTATCCTTATATATTGAGATGTAAGTTCTTTGAGAAGGATAATTAAGAAAGAACTTAACCCTAATTCTCATTCTCCCCCCTACGGCCGCAAGGCTTTCTTCCTTGTATCCCTCCTATCTCCTTCTCCTCCTTACTATTACTCTTCAAAGTGCTTAACATAGTCCCTAAACATTTAAAAACATTGCATGTATAACGCTAGATTTCGGAGTGCGTTATATACACGTTCTTCCAATGCAAGTACGGATTAATCTAAAACCATATATCACACGTGAACTCTACGATACATCATTCCCAAACATTATCTTCTACTCCTTTCGTCCCACAAAATATTTTTTTTTCTTTTTTTCATCCCTTTCAATAAACATTTCTCATTTCTATTGAAAAGTTACTTTTACCTATAATAATTCTTAACATATATATCGCTATCACATCACACTTTTTCAATATTAATCTACCTATCACATGCTAGTTTTACTAATCACGTTAAAACCAGAAAGATTTAAAAGTTAAAACCAGAAAGATTTTGTAGGAACCCAAGATAAATATTCTCACTGCATCAGTAAACGAGCTCGAAGCCTGAGTATTAGTCGATCAATTAAGCTTTTCATCAACTCATAAACCTCCAACAGATATACTGATGAGCATGTGATTAAAACACTCCCAAATTTGATGGAGAGACACCATTGATGCTACGTTTTAAAATATTTATGGACCATTGGTGAAATTTTTAATTTCCACAATACAAGATTTGACATACATGATTATATTATTTTATTAGATTGGTAATAAAAACATACGGAGTACAAACGAAAAAAATTGAACATGTGAATAATTGGGACTCATAATATTTGGGCCAAGACCGATCGCACGTCCAAGAGCGGGAATTATAGCAACCCGTTAGTTGACGTGAATATATATGACATTTTGAAAACATGAACAAACTTCTATTAACCTGAACATGAATGACGCGAAACCGAAATGATACACATAAAAACGTACATATCAAACTCGAACCCGATTCAACCAACCTGATTGAGATCTCCAAATGAACCTGCTACAATTTTTGAGGCCCAAAAAATTTGGACCTTTGGACACATGCACATAAATGTCACATATAACATTTTGTGATTTTGACAATTTGACACCAAAAAAACAATAAAAATAGTATAGATGAGGGGCTGCATGTAGTTGGCTGAAATAAGCTCGGCAAAGGATCATACGGAGTATTTGGGGAAAAAACAAGAAATCCATAAATATTAATTCTGAGCTGACAACACTTATATTTGATGTGTATGCATTAAATTGCAAATAGCCAAAACCTAAGAAAACTTATAGTTTAAGTACACACATCACACATGAGTTGTCCTTCCCATCATAATTCTTTAATTTCTTGTTATTTCTCTCACGGCCTTAATTTTTTTTAATAAAATATTTTGCTATTTTACATTTCCGTCTTTTAGAAAGAGCCGTTAAATGATCGGACCAGATAGTCGCAGGTAGCTTGACCGCGTTACTCGTCATTGAAATATGAGTACGTTGGAGACGTATCGGCCTATATTCTCACCAATGTGATCCCCATTCTGACCACAAATCTGTTTGATTGGGAACAGAAAGTCAATGGAAAAAACATATGATCAATTTAAAATCACCTTAAATAGGACTAAAACATAGAGAAAAGTATCAAAATATAACTTTCATGTTTTTTTCCCCAAAATAGGACTTCACACTGTGGTAATGTGGTTGTAATGTGGCATTGCATATGTGCACATTACTATACTTTTTGGTAATGTACATGACCGTGAATGCATTCTAAGTCTTATTTCGGGAATAAAAATTTGGAAATCTCATTTTGATATATTTTCAATGTTTTAGTCCTACTTTAGTCTTTTCCCCCAATTTAAATGTGCAGTTGGGGACCATGCGTGGTTGCACAGCTGGCATCGTGGAGCTGCGGTGACATTGAGGTCTAGGTCCAAACCCACCACCTATTGGGAGACATTTGGCCTTAATCTGCAAATTCAGTAAAGAAAAATTGGTCTGATTACACCATAAGAGATTTCTAAATACTGGTGGACTAAGGTCACAATATAAACTGTTATTTTGAGGATAAAAGTATGTCTCATATTTTAGGGATAAGAATTACTGAGTACTACGGAGTATATTTTATTCTTAGTTTTACTCCGTACTCCGTAGTATTTAAGGAATAACATTATTTTGACTTTGATTTGAATCCGGAGTAGTTACGGAGTATTGAGTCAACGATTTTCACATCTGGCAGGGAATGAACCATGGGTATAAACTATAGACTATTATCAATGGTCAATCAATTGATTCAATTTTTTTTTGTAATTTTTTTTGTTTTTGTTGGTTTCTTCTCTATTTTTCATTAAATTTTTTTTATCTAAACCGTTGTTTTTGTTCTCTATGATGTTATTTTTTCTGTTAACTACTCATTCTGAGAGACTTAACTCTCGGTTCGACTTCTGTTAATAACGATAAAAAGTACTCCCTCCGTCCCACTATATTTGTCTACTTTCATTTTTACACATCATCCAATGCACTTCTTTAATTCATTTTATCTTGTAATTTGTATATTAAAAAATTATATAAATTATATATTAATAATCTATATGTTAAGACAAATCAAACAAGATCACACATGACTATATTTAGGCTTACACATTGATAGAATTTGATGAGTCAAAGTGCTTAGATGAACAGTTCCAAAAGTTAAAATTGAACGAATATAGCGGGACGGAGGTAGTATCATATAATGTATTAGGCTCTTGCACGCACTTAAGACACGCCCAATTCTTTAAGAAAGTACCTTAAATATGAGTAAAACATATGTAAAGTACTAAAATAGAAATTTCATGCTTTTATTTCCAAAATAGGAGTTTGCAAAGCGTTAATATAGTACTGTATATGGACATTTCACGATACTTTTTGGTAATATACATGACCATGATTGACACTATAAATGCATTTTAAATGTTATTTTGAAAATAAAAATATGGAAGTCCTATTTTAGTATATTTTCAATGTTTTACTTTTACTTTAATCGTTTTCACCATTCTTTCTTGATCAAAATAAAATTATAACTTACTCCCTCCGTCCTACTGTCTTTGTCCACTTACCTTTTGGCACACCATCCAATGCACTTCTTTAATCCATTTTATCTTGTAATTTGTATATTAAAAAAATATAGAAATTATATATTAATAATCTATATGTTAAGACGAATCAAACAAGATCACAAATGACTATTTTTAGGCTTACACATTGAGATAATTTGATGAGTCAAAGTGCTTAGATGAACAGTTCCAAAAGTCAAATGTGGACAAAGATAGTGGGACGGAGGAAGTAATTTACACTACACGGAGTTATAAGATTAAATTTCGTAGCATTTTTTCAAAAATTCCGTCGTGGTTGCGTATTAGAAATAATGAAGATAATATGAAACAAATATTATTATTAATTATCTTCCTTATTCTATTGCTTCTATAATTGTTATTATATTATAATTAGAATTATCTCTTGTACTTATATATATAGAGATGAAACCTTCATTAGTTAATAAAACCAATTATTACCAAATTTTATTCTAAAGTATCACGAGGTGGGACGTGGCCGGACGACGGTCGAGCTCTACATACTTTCACTGCCATGTGATTACAAGAGTAATTTTTTCTGTATTATATGTTGACATTATTACCATTTTAATTTATATTTTAGAATTAGATATAACAACATAATGCTTTTATTTTAATATTTCCTCCACATTTTACTCATAATTTGGTATTTTTTTCCTTAAAATAATAAGTTATGTAATAAAAAACAATTTGACTCACACTTTTTGTTTCTTATTCTTGGCATTAAGAAAAACGGTATAATATTTATTTCCAAATTTTGAAACCTGTCACCAAACGTCCAAACTGAATTATTCTTGTAATCACTCCCGATCATATTTAGATTTGGTTGGTTTATGGAATTAATTTATTCTTCCCAATTTATCTCTTTCAGTTCCCATAAAAATAAAAATAAAAAATACTCCGTACTAAAAAAAAGTCAAAAAATATTATTTTTTATTTTTATTTTACTTTATTTTATTTTATTTTCAGATTCTTCTCACCGCCTCTGCTTTATTTATATCCCTCTCCTTCTCACCTGCCATTCATCTGATCGCCATTAATACTCTCTGTATCTTCACCGAAAAAAAAATATTTATTTCTCACAAACCAAACAGACCCTTAAAGAATTCTCTGAAATCTCGCCGGAAAATCTCCATCTCCGATGAAGCTCCACATCCTACCTTCCGTTTTCGGCAAGAACAGAGAGAGATCGGAGCCCGTGGCGAGTTCTTGGCAATGGAATTCCTGCGCCGCCCCCGCCAAGACTCTGTCTTCCCGCTACGACTCCGCCGCCGCCGCCGCTCCGGGAGAGGGTATGTTCAAGACGGCGAACTCCGGGTACCACGACCCGTCGTCGGAGGGCGCCGGGACGCCGGAGTCATGGTTCACGCACAGCGCCTCGGAGTCGGCGGACTTCTCGACGGAGTCCGACGACGAGCGGATCATCATCACCGGCGTCCGGTCGGACCGCCTGTTCTTCGACCGGAGCGGCACCAGCTCCGCCATACAAGGAAACCCCAAGAAACAGAGACCCGAGAGGGAAGAACAGGGTAAAAACAGGGCAGGAAAGAAACCCGGGGTTTCGCCGGCGCCGTTCGAGAAGGGCGTGGCGGTGGCCATGGATTCCGGCGACCCGTACATCGATTTCAAGAAATCGATGGAGGAGATGGTGGCGAGCAACGGAATCAAATCGCTGCAGGAGCTTCTGGGATGGTACTTGAAGATGAACGAGAAGGAGAATCATGGGTATATAGTCAGAGCATTCATGGATTTGCTCATTGGAATTTCATCTTCATCTTCTTCATCTTCTTGTTCTTCTTCGATTTCTGCAAATTCTGCAGATTTAGTAAGAACATCATATTCATCTGCAGTTTCTTGTCTGTCATCTCCTCCGGCTTCTCCTCTGTCATCTGTGGAAGAAAGATGATTTTTCAATGTATAATTCTAAGCTTTTCTCTGTAAATTAGTAGGAAAACAATGGATGAGGATTAACCCTTCATTCTTTTTGTAACAATTGTCTTTTTTATTACTTGTATTAGTACCTCCTTTCCACTCTCTTTGTCCACATTTGACTTTTAGAATTATTCATCTAAGTACTTTGACTCATCAAATTCTCTCAATGTCTAAGCCTAAATATAGTCATGTGTGATCTTGTTTGATTTGTCTTAACATATAGATTATTAATATATAATTTATATAATTTTTTAATATACAAATTACAAGATAAAATGGATTTAAGAAGTGCATTGGATGATGTGCCAAAAGGTAAGTGAACAAAGAGAGTGGGACGGAGGGAGCATTAATTGGAGTATTTATTTTATTAATTTTTTTACCTTATTCTATCCCTTTTTCTTACAAGAAAAAACTCATGGTAAAACCAAAGTAACTCCACAAACGAAGATTCCTTATCTTTTCACCATTGAAGCCAATCAAGCCATCAAACTTAATACTCTCTTCATTCTGATTTTGATTACAAAATGAGAATTAAGAAGCACTCCCTCTCTACCAGAGTATTTGTTCACTTTCATTTTTACACACCATCCAATGCACTTCTTTAATCCATTTTATTTTGTAATTTGTATATTAAAAAATTATAGAAATTATATATTAATAATCTATATATTAAGACAAATCAAACAAGATCACACATGACTATATTTAGGCTTACACATTGAGAGAATTTGATGAGTCAAAGTGCTTAAATGAACAGTTTCAAAAGTCAAAAGTTGACAAAAACTGAGGGATGGAAGGAGTAAAATTTTACGGTCGTTGAAATTATTTTATTTATAAATTAGTATATCAATAAAAATAAAAATTACATATTAATTATAGCAAAAGTTCTACAAAATAAGAGACGATAAAAATATTTAATTTTATCAAATAGTCAATGAAAACACACAAATAAACAAAAGTTATTAAGAAAAGAAAAAATAAAATTATACTCCACTAAAATGGAGAGGGGGGAAATATTTGCTAATCACAAGAATTTGTTAGATACATAGAAAGTCTTGCAAACAGAGGTAAGGGCGGCCTTTTTGCTTATAGCGACGAGCAAAATAAGCAAAAAATGGCCGAAATGATTTGTGAAGAAAATTTGCTATACATGTTTTCTGAAAAACTTGGATTTATTGATTATTGTCAACAGGCATTAAACCCTCAAGCACGAGGTTTTTCAAGAAAAACAATTAAACGAGAAATTATTCGTCAGTATAAAAGTGGAAAAATAAATTTGGCAAATTTTTTNTTTTTTCTCAATTTTAATTCTCGTGTTGCTATTTGTTCTGATATTTGGAGTGAAACTTATCATAATTTGTCTTATATGGGTGTTACTTGTCATTGGATAGATAGTGATTGGATTATGCATAAACGTGTTCTTGCATTTCGTGATTTCAATGATCAGCATAATGCTGAAAATATTTTTCTATTGATTCAGAGTATTCTGCGGGAATACAACTTATCTGAAAAAGTGTTTTCATTTGGTTTTGATAATGCTACTAATAATACTGCAGCTATTCCTAGACTTAGAGAAATTTGCCCACCGTCTACTTCTATGGGTAGATTTCTGCATCAACGGTGTGCCTGTCATGTTTTAAATTTATGTGTTCAACAGGGACTAGAAGCTATGGGCGGAGTTTTGACGAATATTAAAGAAGGAATTAAAAGAATTTGGGGGTCTCGGCTTGTTTCGAGGTCCTGGAATATGTTCTGCAAGTCTAAGGGTAAAAAAGAAATAGTTTTTGCAAAAGATATCCACATTAGATGGAATAGTACTTATTAATTGATTCATCAGATTCTAAGATATAAAGAGGAACTTGCTGAATTTTTTAGTAATGAACTTCGTATAATCATTAATCCTTCTGAATTTGTTAATGTTGAAAAATTGAATGCCGTATTAGAAGTTTTTAATAACGCAACTCTTACTTTTATTCATGTTTACCAACCAACTACAAATACATTTTTTAAAGAGTGCGTTACAATCACAACATGTTTTCGTGAAAGTGTGGCTAATCTAGAGTTGTACCCTTATGTCGCTTCTATGAGAGATAAATGGTGTGCTTTTATTTGTTCATTCCTGATATTTATAAAATAGGTATTATTTGTGATCCACGCTTTAAGATTGAAAATTTTAAAATTTTAATTGAGTATTACTATAGTTGTTTTTTAGTTGAAAATAGTTATTACTACAGTCATTTAATAGAATGGAAAAAAGAAAGAGATAATGCTATAACTTTTTTTGAGAATTTGTTTGAGGAATATCAAGGGTTATACGGCACTGTACAAGAAGAAACAACACCACCTCCGCCCCCGAAATCAAAAAAGGTTTTGCCGGAATAGTCGGTGGTCTTCTTGCAAAGAAAGGAAAGCGTGCTCATTCTTCGACGAGTTCAAGTGGTACAACAGTAAGCTCGCACAACGAACTTGCTTTGTACCAGGGTGTGCCATGCGATTACGACGACGACGACGTGGATTTTGATGTGCTCGGATGGTGGAAGCGGAACGAACACATGTTCCCATGTCTCGGCATGCTAGCAAGACAAGTATTATCCGTTCCGGTATCAACCGTAGCAGTTGAACGAGAACTCAGTGCTGGCGGCAACATTCTAACCGACTTTCGAAGTTGTCTTAGCGCTGAATATCTTGAAACACTGGTTTGCAACCAAGATTGGCTCTTGGCAAGACGTCGAGCTCAAGAGTCATCGTACCTACTCGAATCGGAGCATTACATGAATGCAACGACAGATGGAAGTCCGAGTTCTGAAGAATAAGTTATAATTTTTTTATGTTAATGTAGATATGTAATTAGTTTTTTTAGGTGAGCGATATATAAGCTCCTTTGAGGGTTTCTTTACGGTTCTTTACCTCGTCGCTTTTTTTGAACCGTCAGGATATTAAATGTGGTTGTTCTTCAGTTAGTGTATTATTCATTTAAAATATTTAAATAACAACTACATTTTTAAATTTTTTATTTCTTTCTTTCCTTAAAGAATTGCAAATTTAAAATTTTATACTTTAAAAATTTTAAAAAAAGCAAAAAAAAGGGGAGGGGGGGCGAAACCGGCCGGTCCGGTACCGGAACCGCCGGTCCGGGAACCGGAACCGGTACCGGCCGGCACGGTGACGGTTCCGGTGACATGGGGTGGCGGTACCGGAACCGGCGGTTCCGGAACCGGAACCGTCCCGGAACCGTACCGTGTCCACCCCTAATAGAAACACGTTAACTGGGAAGAGAAGCTAACAACAAACTTCTCTTTTCACAACATTAGTATGGACTATATTGTAATCTTTTCCTTCTAATTTAAATCATCTGTTTCAGTTTACGATATTGATTGAAATTATTTTCAAATCATTTTATATGAAAAATGGTGTATAATTAAAAAAATAAAAATTACTCCGTACATGTTTAAAAAATACACCAAAAGATCTACAAAATTAGTCGTGACATAGTTATATTATTTTATCAAATAACTAACGAAAATAAAGAAAGAATGTTAATGAAATTTTACTATGTGAATAATAAATACTCCATATACTCCCTCCATCCATGAAAATCTTTCTCCTTTCTTTTTTCATCCGTCCCAAAAAACACTTCTCATTTCTATTAAAAAGTCACTTTTACTCCTTTTTCATATCCTACCTATCACATCATACCTTTTTACTAATAATATATCCATCAAATCATATTTTTACCCATCACATCAAAAGACATTTTTGGAAATTCAATACCAAAATACATTCCCCTTAAATCCCTCTTCAAAATCAAAACTTCCATGTTTTCCGGGACGGAGGGAGTACAATTTAATTTGAGACAAAGAGAATACAAAGTATAAAAAAATTTTATATTGTGAAATTTGATGTTCCATATCGAATGGTGTGAGTCTGGTATTGATCGAAATCATCTAAAAACAAAGAGTAATTTACTTAAATAGGACTAAAACATAATGACTTTCCCAAAATAGGACCATATGTTTTTATTTTCCAATGTAGGACCTTTGGTCATTATTAATTAGTCATTATTCAAGTAAATGTCCATCATTGCTGGGCATTATTCCTTCCACGAAGACATTATTAAGTCCTATCTAGGGAATAAAAAAGTTCTTGCACTAGATTAGGAAAGTCATTATGTTTTAGTCCTATTTAGTGCAAATTTCACAAAAACAAATGTAATAAAATTGTACTCCATCCCAAAAATAATTTTAAATCTGACTTTTCACGATTATCAACACTTTGACCATTAATAATTATATTTGTAAAATTAGTAAATAAAGCCATTGTTTCATTTTTTGTCAAACAATTACACGCTTTGACCATAAAATAAATATAATTTAAATAAAGAAATGTTATAAAAATTTGATATATCAAAACTAGATTCTAAGATGAATCAATTATATTAAATTTTTATTATAATTCAATATACTTTTTTCTCACAATTTGTAGTCAAAGTGTGTAATTTTTTTACCAAATACTATTTAAAATGGGTAATGTTTTGTGAGACGGAGTGAGTATTATTTTGGGACAAAGAGAGTATACAAGTTTTAAAATGCTCAATTTTGAAAACATAAACTTAATAGTATAAAGTATAAACACAAGGAATATAAAGATAGTACTCACACCATTGTTCACAGAGGCAAATATACCACACAAGATAACATTAATTTTAACATTTTTAAAACATATAAATACACTCATAAAAGAAAATATTACTAGTCGACTTTTACACATTAGAGAAGTAAAATGTAGCATCACCAGACATTATTAGAGCACTAGCTATGTTTTCCATCTAGTTGAATTCACATATTTCAAAAATATAATTACAAATATTTTATTTTTAAATAACAAAACTCTTCATATATTTCAAAATCCTACAATGAACATTTCGACATTCAAGAAAAATCATAAACTCCATTCGTACTTTGCGTCGTTAATCCCACGGAGAACAAGTGGTTCGAACACCACGACACGCAGTTCAGGGAAGAGCGGGGAGCTCGACTTTCTTGAAAGAGATGAAACTAACACGCCCGTGTTCTACATTGCATACTTTTATCGGACTGCCATTGCAACACCTTTCTAGTTCTTCTATTTCTTGTTTGGATGGTGGAAAGCCTCTGCATCAAAAGATTGCTTACTTTCATCAAAAACACTACATAAACAGATGTTACTGCCAAACAGAGCATTAGATTATATTGATAACATGGGAAAAAATTACCCAGTGAAACATAGTATGAAGCTTGGTTGACCTGGAGAAGATTTTCTGAATCTGGAATTGGGAGGGTAAACATCAAATACTGGTTTCACCTCATTGACATTCATACTTTTTAACCTCTCACAGATGAAGTAAATGTCTTCGGATGAATCGGCAGTAACACTCTTCACAGTCCAAAGAAAACCATGACGTTGTACAATGTACCCGAGGCACTTCAAGTGTGTGTAAGCTTCAAAAGCAGCCCAAGAACATCCATTCTTTGCTTCTGAAACCATGTTATACACATCTTTGAGAGACATCGGCGTATCAATGTGGTCAAATAGATGCAAAGCCCCTATTTCAACCAAATACCTACAAAAAAGAAAGAGCAATATAAGATCTCAAGCTTTTCGTATCAGTAGCACGGGGAACGAAAATGAAAAACCAAGAAAAAAAATGAAATTTGTCACAGACAAAGTTTCTTCAATGAAACAATAGATTTTCCTATTGCGAACTATCCCTGTGGTTGCCCAGAGACGACCCTTCATCTCAACCATCTCAGCCATTCCAAACTTGTCAATCCACTTGGCTTTTGATATGTCTTTCCTGAAACACCAATACCCAAATAAAGAAAAAGAAACAACAAACCTAGTACGATCCCTAATGCATAAGGGTCTACGGTGTCAAAATGTACGCAGCCTGACCCTGTAAAACTGTAAAAATAGAGACAAATGCAGAAAGAATTACCCCAGTAAACATTGGATGGGGGAAAACACAGCGAATATTACCGGAACTGTAATTTGGGTATATCACCCGATGAATATGAACAAATATTCTCATCATCATCATAGCCGTGTTCATTGTCCTCATTGTCTGTAGTTCCATCTGAAAAGCTAGCCCAATCGGTTTTCATGGCTTAAATCACCAATACCACAACCTACAGTCTACACCAGAAAAAACAACAAGAAGAAAAATAAAGTCTGATTCAAAATTCTTAGCCTCAAGTATGCATTGAATCTTCAAGCCATTGCCATAAGTCCATTGACAATGAATAGATGGAGAAACTATTCCAGAAATGTGCCGTATAATGTGAAGGGAGAAAGAAAAATGAACTCCAAAAGCTTCAAAAGAAAACAATCGACCAGATCTCAAATCAAATCACATAAACAGCAGTGTTTGGATCAGAAATTGAAAAGATCCCAAGCTTAGTTATGAGCAACCTGAACGAGTTCCGGGTGATTCCAGGCACGAGGATGATGATGATAGACAATGTTAGGTTTTGCTTAGAACCCTAGCACACTCACAATTTTGGAAGTGGCAATTGGTTGTGTTCTAGTTTGAATTTAATCCGTTGGATTATTTAGAATATTTGTTAGGAAAAATTATATTACATAATCCCATTTTTTCAAGTTTTTTTTAAAAATAATCTCACTTCTCACTATCACTAGAAATTATCCACCTTTTTGCATGTATGCGAGTTTTGGATCGTGTTAAAAAACAAACGGTCATTTAACGAAATTCTTGGAAAATATATGTTTTTCGGAAATAAATGAAAGATGAGATTATTTTAAACAAAAAATCTAAAATTAACATTTTTAAAAATATAACAATAGACTCTTGTTAGAAATTTATCTAACAATTTACAGATTTTGTTTTATGTTCTGGGAAAATATAATATTGAATTGTCAAAAATAATTCAGAGTAATGGTCGAGAAAAAAATTGCAATATAAAAAAATATAGTGCGTTATAAGATTTATTAGTGCCGTTTCGGAGAAAAAATATTGTGTCATTTTCACAACTTTTGAATTACTATTCTGGGGGAAAAATCTATACTTAATTATAAAAAAATCACAAGTTAGGTAGTTGCATTTTAGAAAAAATAATATAGGTAATAGCAGCTTATCAATAAATATTTCAGAGTGTTCATGAAAAAGTTGCAATACAATAAAAAATGTAGTGAGATTTAAAAATAAATGTTCCATTTCAGATAAAAGCATAGTGAATTATGAAATAAATAGATTAGCTCTATTGTGTATGATAGTATATTTTTTAATTATTACCAGATTATCGATTATTGAAAAAATATTTAGTTTCCCTAAAAAAATATTTAAATTTGGTATTATTTATAAAAAAATAAAAAATACATTTAAGTTTAAAGTTAGAAATCAAAAAACAAAAAAAAATAAAATTTACCTAAAATAATCTCACCTTTCATTTATTTGCGAAAAACGGACATTTTTTTAATTCCGTTAAGTCACTGTTAGTTTTGTAACGGCTACCCAAAACTCGCACAGATGCAAAAAGATTGGATTATTTCCGATGACAGTAAAAAGTGAGATTTTTTAAAAGAGCGCGAAAAGGTGAGATTATTTGAAATAATTTTTCCTATTTGTTATAAACATTTTTATTTATTTCACATGAATTTTATTCGGTTTCGGATTAATTGATTCGCTATATTTTTTTTGATCGGTCAATTGCTCCTGAGAACCTGACTAGATTTCGAAAGAGTGTCACAAGTATGTAGGGGTGGGTTTGGTTTTGGCGGTTCGGTTTTTACCCAAAACCAAAGACAAAACGGAAGGTAAGTTGGCGGTTCGGTTCGGTTTGGTTTTGCATAAAAAAAATATGTAAACCGTTGGTTATTCGGTTCGGTTTTATGCGGTTTTTATTTTGGTTTTTTTCGGTTTTTTTCGGTTTTTTCGGTTTTTTCGGTTTATAAAAGTAAATATTTATAAGCATTAAAAATAGTATAAATACTAATTCGACGAAGCAATAATAATACGTAAGTTTGGGTTTGGTTATTTTGCTTGATTTTTACACACAAAAAAAGCCGAACGGAAGGATAGTGTTCTCATCGGTTCAATTTTACATACAAAATATGTGTCAAGTGTCTAAAAAACATCTAGAAGATTCCAAGTAATCCTAAAGATATCATATGTAAAATCAATTGCAGAGAATTTGTGTTTTTTTTTGAAATAATACTTTCATTTTCATTATAACATCAAAGTTTTTTATGTAAATATGTTAACTACTCATATTAATTTTTAATGTTATATAATTCTATATTAGGATTAGTTATTGGTGTTTATATTCTTAGGTTTTTTAAAGTTTATAATATGGACAATATGGTTAAAATGTTTAATTGATAGTTAAGAAAAAAACTTTAATTGACTAGTAATTAATTTGCATTTTTGTTTATATGATTTTTTATACATATCACACATACACTCATATAAATAAAATGAAGCATGTAAATAAGTTCGGTTTATTCGGTTCAGTTCGGTTTTTCAAAGTAAAAACCAAAATGGAACCAAACAATAACGGTTCGGTTCGATTTTTTTACATTCGCTTTCGGTTTGGTTTTTTTCTAGCTCGTTTCGATCGATTTCGGTTCGGTTTTCGGTTTTTGGTTTTCGATTTTCTCGACCCAGCCCTACAAGTATGATGCTTAAAGGCGCTTGGTGAATGCAACTTAAATTAAAACAAAATTTTCTATATTTAATTTTCTAAAGAAGAGTGTTGGCATTGTGAAATACCCCTATTATGTGTAGACATTTCACAATATTTTTTAAAATTAGTTGACATTAAAAGTCTTATTTTGGTATAATAACATTGAAGGTCGTATTTTAGTCTATATATAAAACATATTTAGTCTTACTAGATATTTCTCTGGTACTGAGAACCAAATTAAATTTGAACCCAGACAACTCAAACTAGATGTAACGTATAAAAAAATACCCAAATCAAACAAATCCGACTTTGGGAACTAGTCATAACGTACTTACTGTTTTTCTGTTTCAAACCTTGTTAACGTGTGAGTGCTTGTATGACTTTGGGAACAACAATTTCAATAAGGTCCCGTTTGGTACATGGAATTCAAACTATGGAATTGGAATTGAGGACTTCAATTCCAATTCTGGTGTTTGGTAGAACAAAAATTATGTGGATTTAGAATTGATAGTGCAGAAAATGAATTGAAATTGACAGAATTCAATTCTATGGAATTGAATCCCATGGAATTTCAATTCCAATTCAATTCCAATTCCACCAATTCCTTATACCAAACGGACCCTAAGCGTTAACGCTTAATAGTGTGGATCACTTTGAAAACGTTTGAGTTACCCTCTACCGTTAACTAATTAATCTTTTCAAGACGCTAAAGATGTTGCCAGGCTAAACGGACAATTAACAAATGAGATCCATGAAGAGAGGGAAAACTGGAAAAGGGCATGTTGAGGACAATCAAATTGGAATGGAACATTTGTGTTTGTCAACACTTGTTGACATAACAAAAAAAATACCTATAAAAAATATTCAGGTCTAAGAATAAGCATAATAAGATAGATGTATAGGGAGGATATGAATGAAAGTATGAAATTGTGGGAATTGGATGAACATTAGCATCCACTCACTACATGTTATCAACTTGGCTTTTGTAGTGGGAGACCAAATTAAATTCCAGTGTGACATTCGGATCAGACATTACACTTTTTTTACACGGATGGATTGGAATAATCTTTTGGTCTCTTTATTAGTTTTCTAATATAATTTTAATTTATTAGTAATAGTTTGATAGTTTTGGCCTTGTTTGGAACAATATTTTCGATAAATATTGGCGTTTTTTATAAAACATTTATGGTATAGATTAACTTTGAAAATGCTAAAGATAAACGCTGCCGTTAGAATATCTTATCAAATCGCTAACGCTAAATGCTAAAGTTGTTCCCAAACATAGCTTTTGTCTATATCTCTCAGAAACACTAACGGCTACCGTTATTGGTATTTTTGGATAAATAATTTACTGGAAAAATTTTGTCCATACTCTCAAAAATCTTACGAGGTCGATTTTATAAAAATACTCCATGTTTGGCACTTATGTTTCACAATTTATCCGACATAAAGATTAAGAAAATTGAAATTGTATAGTTGAAAATGATGCAGAGGGGAAACTTACCTAAATAGTACTACCTCCGTCCCGGAGTATTCGTCCAGTTTTGACTTTTGGAACTGTTCATCTAAGCACTTTGACTCATCAAATTTTCTCAATGTGTAAGCCTAAATACAGTCATGTGTGATCTTGTTTGATTTGTCTTAACATATAGATTATTAATATATAATTTTTATCATTTTTTAATATACAAATTACAAGATAAAATGTATTAAAGAAGTGTATTGGATGATGTGTAAAAATGAAAGTGGACAAATACTCTAGGACGGAGGTAGTACTAAAATTTAGTGTCCCAATGTAGTACCACTGATCATTGTCAACTGGTCATTGTTCAAGTAAATGTATGTTATCACTGGACATTGTTTCCGCCACTAGACATTATTCAAGTACTATTTAGAGAATAAAAAAAGTTTAAGTACTACATTGAAAAATGACATATTTTTTAGTACTATTTAGTGTAAATCTCACTTTAAAAAGATTTAGTACTATTTAACAACATTTTATTTTAGTGTTTTCAAAGTTTAGTTTTAACTATTAAATAGATTATCTAACAACATTTAATTTTACTATTTTCAAGGTTATATACACTACTAAAATATCATCTAAAACACTAACGTTATTTAAAAACAATATTACTAAATAAGGCCAAGGTGTGTTTTTGTAGTGTAATTTTCCATTTGTGTTGAACAACATGGTTCTTAGACATATGCAAGTTGCATGAAAAAAGGTACTTGTAATAGTAGTAAGCTATTATTGCATTAGACATGCTATAAATAATTTCAACGGCACATTTTATGTTCACGAAAAGGTGGCGCTAACTATAATTGTACTTTCATTTCTTACTTTCTTTTCTCAACATTTGTGGACAAAATTCTCTATTTGGTGTAAATATGGATTCGATATGGCCAAATGAAGTCTGAATTTAGCGAAAACGTTATGAAAATTATTTTTTAAAAAATATTTTATCTTAATCATGGTACGAGAATCCTACACCAACACGAGTATTTGAGAACATGGTTTTCAATGTCATATTATGACATCGAGTGTTTCGCTCGGCCCTAAAGTGGTTCATATCATCCAAACGATATACGCATCCAAACATTTAGTTAAGAAAGAATATCATTTTAAGACCAAGATTGGACACCATGATGACATCACTATGTCTTACAAACATGCATAGAGAATAGATAATGACTATCTCAGTGTGGATACAGCTAATAACTATCGGTGCATGTTTGTAAAACACAGTGGTGTCATCTATGGCGTCTGTCTTGGTGTCGTTGTAGCATGGTCCTCTTGTAAATATTTCGTTTT